GTTGTGCAGTGTTATCAGACAATGATGCGCTTTCCGCAAGACTTACTAAAGGTGCCTCATTGGAGCAGGGTTTTGGGGTGGATGACGAAGAGCGAAACAAAGGACTACATAATATGCATCCTCAAAGATGTGTAATTTTAATGGAGTTTCGGTATGTTATACTATGTTTATAGTAAGGAATCCCCAAAATAGTATAGGTAATCATTCAGGGCACTACTTTAAATCTTTTTAAACCCTGTACCTGAAACCCTCGACCGAAAGCCTTGTGTTGCCGCACGAAACAACCCGAAACCCTGGAAATGCATCGTATAAACTCCAAGCCACCCGGAATCCTTGTCTTGCCAAGCCTTCACAACCTACACTGTATATTGTATACTTCTAAACCGTAACACCATAAACCAAACACTAGACTGTATATTGTATGCTTCGAAACCGTAACACCATAAACACAACCCTAAACTGTATAATGCACGCTTCTAAACCGCAACACCCTAATCTAACCCCTAAACTCTGGACCCTTGAACACCACAACTGTAGATCCCTAGACGGCCCAAGTTGGCCTCCACGTCGTTTTCGTTTCGTGGCCTTAATTAACCATCTTTGAGACTGTGAGAAACACGGATGATGATTAACAACCCTGCGTCACACATAAGAATAGCATAATTCCCATAGTTTAGAGTCCTTAAGGTAATGCAGGATTTACATTACCAACCGTATTATTACTGGCGAAAATAAAGATCCCTTTACTAATCCCACCGATCGCCTCCAGTCCGAAGTAGCATGCAACTTCCACCACACAAACCTGAACGGCGAACTAAGGGTCACTAGGGCTTTTCACGGTGATAAGATGAAGGAACCCAAAACCCGATTCTGATCATGAGGTCCCTACATTCGCTTTCCTTATTCGCCTTCCTAGCGGTATTGCTTTAATTTGTCTTGCATTTGTATAGGGTCAGCTGGGCCTCATTCTTGCAGATCCTGAACCAAAACAAGCGGTATCGAACTTTCCGTAAGCCAGAAGAAAGACTCAAAGGCATTTTTGCCTTGGTGGCAAGTGGAAAGCCGAAACTAGAACCCTTAAAGGGGCACGGAAGAACACTAAAGTAACCCCCAAGGAACCCCGTCAAACTTTCTTCTTGAACAACCAGGCCCAAGCAAGTTCTTTTAGGATAGACCTAGTATACAAGGCCAAAAGTTGAAAGTTCTCCCATTGGCTTCTAAGCCCAGAAGAACCTTGAAGGAAGTACAGGAAACCGCGCGATCGGCAACCATGAACCGTGCATTCTAGGAGATGGAGAACTCAAACACCACGAACTTCAGGGTTCAGAGGTTAGGGGTTCAGGGGTTTAGAGCAGACGAGGTTTGGGTTCTAGACAGCAGAATAAAGCAAATACGCGCGAACCAGTACATTAAGGCACTGTTCTCAACTGGATCACTCTTGCAAACGTGAAGTTTCCCGGGCCACTTCCAGATTGTTAGACATCTTGGGTACCACCGTAGTTTGAAGTTTCGCATAAACTTTTACTGAAGTGCAGCAATTTCATCAGGCAAACGTGGGGGTTTCCGAAAATAGGAACCCTAAGATCGTGCCCTACAGTGGGATCCTTGTTATAAGGACCCCCCAAGCGCAATCTCAAAACCCTAAACCTTTTCCCTTCCTTTCAGGGGTCACCCTTTGGCCGCCCCTTGAAGTTTTCTTGTAGTCTCTTGAAGGGAGCTTGAGGAAGACTCAGGGTTCTCCCCTTGACAGAGTCTTCAAAGAGGCTTGAAAGGGAGACTCCTCTCTCGGTACTTTTTCTCATCGAGTTGCAAGGTTGCTTCTCTTAAAGTCTTGAGTTCTGCTTGGTTGCTGCTGCTTGGGGCGATCTGTCATTGTGTAAGCCCATAAACGTACATGCTTTGCGATCTTGGAGACCATTAACTAAGAGATAGACAGAGCGAACCTAGTTGCACTCAGTGTGCGGCTTTGGGTTTAGACTCTGGCTCTGTCGTTGCTTGGTTGCTTCTGCTTGGCATCATTGCAACAACCCCCTTTGGTGAATGTTGGGCAGTAAGAGCTGAACACCTTCTTGCCTTGTGCCTGGTTCTTCCTGCGTTGGACAGTGCCTTTTCTCATCGGATTGCACCCATACTTGAGTACATCGGCCTGAATGTGACTGACAGCACACAGCCATGCTCACGCTTGCATTGATAGCATGTATTGCTGCTGTTGAACAGCCGTATCATAAGCACTCTGCGAAAGCTTATTGGACAAGCGCAGCTGGAGACTACTGGAGTGTGTTGCGTCGGAGCTGGATGTTACGGTGAGCCAGCATGCAGGGTAGGATCGAGCATCGCCTGATTTTGGAGGCTTGAACTAGAAGCTAAGAGACTGCGTTTGGCCGACCAGCTTGTTGAAGCGGGTCAAACCAGTTTGCGGATGCCAGGAGCGAAGGCTCCACAGGGCTTCAATCGGACCCGTCAGCTAGAGCTGGCGGTTCTGGTGGGTGGCTCTGGGTCGCAAGGAGTGGAACGCATGTCTGATGTTGAGCTTGTTGATCTTGAGACGGAGATTCGTGACACAGGTTCCATCGTGCCCCGGAGGCTCGAAGGAATGCTTTTGAGCCTGTGGTCTTGAATGAGCTGGTAACACATCCTGAGATCTTTGATGAGGAAATCAGCAGTATTAGATATGGATCGTCTTCTGGAAATGCCGCTAAGCCGAAGTTTGAGCGAGTTGCACTTGGAGGGACACATGTGCACTTGTGGTGTCCTGACGGTGGTGTTGACGATAGCACACTAGAGGAACTCTCGGGCGATTTAGTTTTCACTGGGATGAAAGAGGAACTGCGTAACCTGGAGCATTGCCGCACAGGCAGGGTGATCGGTGGCCCGAACGCAGCAAAGATCGGAAGCCGGGCGAGACGTCTTCGCGGGTTTTGTTTTCGGACCTGCAGTTGAGCTCTTCTAGCAGAGGCGTTGACGGCACCACATTGTTTCAGTTCACATGACTGTCGGGCAGGATCTGCCAATTCGCCATCTTATCAGGCCAAGGTCGAGGTCCTGAGCTAGTTATGCTTGAACGTGTCGGGAGATGAGCAGAGCTTCCGTCCTAGTCGGATTACTGCTTGCTTGGAGCAGCGGCTATGTCTAGGTCATGTTTGTGGCTTCTTGCATTCTGACATGTTTTTTTATCACTTGGTTTTTCAACAGTGGTGGCTGGTAATGTGATTCTTCGGCTCCAATTTGGCTATCTGCACTGGCTGTTTGCTCACCGTAAGCGCACCCGTCCTTAGACTCCTTGGACAGAAGTAATATAGGGGCCTCAATAATTACCAATACTATTTTGGGGGTTCCTTCTTATTAATGTAGTAGAATAGGCCCCAAAACCTTATTCTACTTGTTAAGGCCCCTATATTCAATGGGTGGCCGATTTTGCGACTCTGAAGCTCAAACCGGTACTTGCAAGATAGTCAGTCTAACATGCCTGTGAGCAGTTGTCAAATAGCCGTGTGCAGTGATCAGTGGAGGGTAATGTTTCAATAGATTACGTTTTACCAAGTTATCTCGACGGGTCGGCCGGTGCTCTTCTGCGGCGATGTAGGGCAGAGGCTGCTGGCGTCCATGAGAAGGTTCGGAGCTGGGTCGTCGCGGTTTGGGGTGTAAGTGTTTTCTTTTCAGGATGTTTGGAGCTTCAAAGGAGTTATATACAGCATCTGAATCGTTTGAAGCTCGGGCATGGGCGACGGGGCGGGGTATTCGGAGGGTTTGGTGCTTCGGAAAGAGCAAGGGCCGGCCCAAAGTATCACTTACTTCAAATCCGTATTTTCAACACATCCACAAAGGGGGGCCCCGATTCCTAAACCCCAAGCCCTGAACCGAGGTACGACGTTCAAAAAGAGAAAACCCTTCAGTTTGAGATCTGGGTTCCAAACTCCCTCCGCACCCTGCAGCATCAAGCTCTACGTCTAGCCCTTACCTTCACCCCAAATAAGCCCATCGTTTTCAGGACGCAGAGAAAGGAAATCATAATGAGTAGCCCTAAAAAGGGTGGATCTTATCGGGTTACGTAGAGTCTAGTCAGGGTTCAGGCTGAAAGGGTTGGGCTTTTGGGTGGCAGGTTGGGTGTTGGGGCTGTTGGAGTTCGGTTGCAGGATTTGGGGGATTCAAGGTTCCCCTTCATTCTGCAGTCTGCAGACCTAAACCCTACCGCAGGCTTTAGGGGTTGAGGGGTTTAGGACCCCGAGCCCTAGAGAAATGGCAGAATCTGGCCCCTTCGTTACAGGGTGTGTCACCCC